GAGAAGCAAGGATGGAACAGTAATAATAATATTAACAAAGTCATAATTGTGATTATAACAATGCTCACCGCTAGGGATAGTAACAAAATCATGATTTGAAAAAAAAAAAGATTATTTTTCATCGTCACACTCAAATTATCAAGAATATCACCTGCGTTATCAGTGTAGGCACCCATGTGAAAGGTGTTACCAGGATGCTGTCATACACCGGAGCAACCAAGTGAGTCACTTCGATTCTGGATTGCTTTTCAACGTTTAGTGCCCAAGGCCTCTTTGATATCTGCGCGTCACTTCTTCAGAGCTCGCCCGAGTGACCGTTCGCTTTCTCGCGGGTATCATTCGATAGTGCACATTGTCTAGCGGTTATAGAGAAATGTACTCAAAATCCTGAATTAAAAATGTTTTTTCCGTCAGAAATTATTGTTTTTAAAAAATGAAAAATTTGCCATCAAAAAGAGTGAACGATTTTAACAGGGGATTAACTAAAAATGAATATTGTTAGGCGGAATCCCTAGAGGAAGGAAGTGCAAAATCCTAAAAGGGCTTGAGTGGATGGAGACTTTAATTGAACTGAATGTTTTGTAGTTATTGGTCAATCTGATAACCTTGCAGTACGGAGCGAAAGCGTCACCAAGAGTGAAACGGTTCGATGAAGTGGAGATGGTTGAGGATGGCAGGCAAATGGGCGTCCGTGAGGTCGCGCGAGTCAAGTCACTGGAGGATTGCATGCAGCTCTGTCGGCAGTGCGCTGGCTTAGTTCATTATCCGGATAATGTGTGCATTATTTTCAATACTCTTAGCGGCAATGTGTTATCATCGTTTGGCGCAACATGCTGCTTCGCACATCAGGGTCAGCAACAGTTGCAGTGTGGACGATGCGATGAAAAAGAAATAGATGAAGGTAAAGCATCAAAAATACCGAAATCAAAATGCCAAGCTTAATCAAACAAAATGCGGCGCAGTGTCTTCTCGACATGTTTGGAGCTGCCAGGATTGGTGGTACTTTTCCAAGCGTCTGCACCTTTATTCCTCTTTCACTGCAGCACCACGGTGTGGTATCTGGGTTAGAAGTTTGCTGGAGAAAGGCAAAGTAGTGAAGATGAATTAACGAACCCCAGCCCCCCAATTCATATGAAGTGAACAAATTCTGAAAAAAAACCTCCCTTTTTATAGCGCTCCGAAATTGTTTGAAATTTTTTTAATGGCACTTTGTCAGCAGAAACACACGCTGGCGACATTTGTAGATAAATTACTTTTCCAAGAGCTTTTTTATTATCCTAAACCTTTCGGATACTATCCCATTGTAATTTTTTATTCGCCCTTCTACTATTTTTTATTTGTCAAAGCTACAGCCGTTCAGTTGTGGCTTTGATTAGGAATTTATACTACTTAATGGACCGAAACATTCCTGTTCTGTGATTATTTTTTCATATACATGTTTTATTTTTCCCTGTATTTTATATATCATCATCATCATCAGTATCTTTGTTTAGAACATAGACCGATGAACGGTTCTGATTCCCAAGCATTTGCTACATTACTATCAACGTAGAGAAACTGTTTTTACCTCGGCAAAATGGAACTAAGTAGGAATGAAATATAACATATTTCACACGGTACCACATTTTGCAAAATTTTTGGTCCGGCCTTCTCTCTTAGCTTATCTATATTTGTGAAGCATGCGAAGCCAACAAAAGAATGGTTCCTTCAAGCACCAAGGCGTCACATACTCTGACGAAGGGCACGAATTTAATGGCAGGTCAATGAAGTTATTGAGCTTTGGACGCGTTTAGTTCAGTTTGAATATTTCGTCTTTTTCAGGTAATCTAGAAGGCCAGACAAATCTCCTTAATGTGTGGACACGAAATCCAGAAACAAATTTGTTGTATAAGGTAAGAAAAAAAAGGGACACATCCAAACTTTTACATCCTCAGCGAAGCGTATTCCACTTTTACGATAACACATTTCAGCTGATTCACTCAAATAGTAATAAATACCAGACACGCCAAGTCCACCAGAATTTTGGGACCTAATGTTAACGATGTTACTCCTGACTTTTACGCCCCCGAATTTTTCCAATACGCTCCCTCTACCTTCCCCTCCCTTGAAAAATTCCACCTATGCCTTTGCTTAGACCCATTATTTGAATGGGATGCAAATGCAGCTTAGGTAGCGATGCAAGGCCTTGCCGGTACGATCATGCGTTTTTGCATTAAAATCGAAGCGACCAGATCGTTGGCAGTATAAATGGTTGTTGTTTTACACCTTAACATATACACTCATCTTAACAGTGTTATAGTTTTTTCTGCACACGGGAGAAAGAAGGCGTCAACTCATAATGATTTAGGCTACTGAGCGCATAAAGTAAATGTAAAGCAACAAACATTCATACAGTTAACGACCTGATTGCTCCAAATTTAGTGCAAAAACATATGATCGCACTAGCAAGATTGCTGCATCTCACTCAACCTGGTGTTCTTACTCTCAAATGGCTGTTTATAGGCATATTCAAGATTGCTTCAGATCCGCTGAAACTAATTTTAAGAAAAAATTG